TTCTGCTTAAAGATGGCAGGTTGAACACAGCTTTTGTCTCTGCAGCCTCCCTGAATCCTACTAAAATGGAAGGAAAGGGAATTTTTTTTAAGGGCATAAACCCAAATGACAACGGGAAATAGGAATAAAGACAATAGTAACTATCATTTGGAAGTTGAAAGCAGATGAACAGTGGTAACTGATTTAGCTAAAACCTAAGTTGGGGACTGAGGCACCAGTATCTCTGAAAGGGGAATGCAGGAAGGGCTAAGAATGGGGGATGGATTGAGTGTCTCTCTGAGAGGCCTATAGATGCCCAGGTCTTCTCTCCAACCTAAGCACAAAGCTTTAAGTTTATGATCTGGAAAGGCTACCACAGAGGTCTTTAGGCGAGGGGGCATCAGGCACTGATGAGAGCCAAGGTACTGTACTAAAGTTAGGAGGACACAGTGAAAGCCTGAACGCTGAATAGAGAAGAACCCCCACCCTTTCACCATCAGCCCTCGTCCTACACTCGCCTCCCAGGATGCTGGTAGCCAGGTGGGAGACTGGAAGATTTTCTCCAGGGAATCTGATCAGTCCAGACAAAGATATCTAAAGATACTGACATTTAGTACCCCTTCCCCTTTATTACTCGAGGTAAAGGTTACCAGTGAAGAATCAAATTTTTAGCCTCTCGCCTAAAAGTGAAAGGAAAAGCAACAGACATTAAAGGCCACTAGACATTTGAGGTAATTCTTAACCATGAAAGGCAAAGACTTCCCTGGCCAGGTAACTCAGTTGGTTAAAGCATCATATTGATACACCAAAGTTGTGGGTTTGATTCCTGGTCTGGGTACATACAAGAAGCAACCAATAAATAGATAAATAAGTGGACCAACAAATCGATGTTTCTCTCTCTTCTTCCCTTTCTCTTCCTCTCTCTCTCTCTCTCTCTCTCTCTCTCTCTCTCTCTCTGGCAAAAACCCAAATAAACAGAAAAAAAGAAATCACTATAAATAGACAATACCGAGAATAGAAGCAAATATTTAAAATTTGATGATAGTAATAATATTCCTAGAGAAATTTGGAGACAATATAAAATCCATGAAATAAAAACAGATTTTTTAGAGTCAAAAAACAAAGGTGACTTTTAGAAAATAAACTATGACAGTAAAAATGTAAAAGCCAATGTAAAAGTTGAAATAGAAACTGTGTGTGTGATCCCAGAAAGTAGAACAAAAATATAAAGATAGAAAATAGGAGAGAAAAGAGAATTAATATGAGTTGAGAGCTGTGCTGCCGACCAAGAGAGTGACAGTCTGCATGGTTAGATAGAAGGATCGAGAAGCAGTCTCCAAAAAGAGGGAAATGATTTAGATATAAATACATAGAAGATGTAGCAAAGGGGTAAAGGGGCAGTTATTAACTCCAAGGAAAAGAAAAAGTTGTTCTGAGAAATGAAAGGCAATTAAAGGATACCATGGGGCTCACCTGTGACTAGGGTGTACCTTGCCCAAACAATGCAAACCCTAAATATTGATGGACGAAGAGGAAGGTAGCGTGTGGGAATCTTTAAAAAGACCTAAATTTTCATCTCCTCTACTTTGAAATCAGTAAATAGTGCTTAAAAATAAAGAAATAGCAGTACAATCCCATTCTTTAGCAACATATTAGAAAATATCAAAATAATCAGCTAAAGTGAGACTGGGAGTGGAGGACTGGAGAGGGGACCAGAAGACTGCTGTTTTTCTGGTATTTAAGAGAATTGTTTGACTTTTAAAACTACATGTGTCTACAACTTTGATAAAAATTAAATTAAAAGATGGGAATGGAATATAGAGGGGTCAACTGGAGCACAATCAAGGGGTTCTGCCCGCTGCAGGAATTAGGCAGTTCGGGAGACCTCTTTCCAATGACATTAACTTAGTAAAAAGCCACATACCTCTCGAGACAGGATGGAACATGAAGTATTCGTTTGCAGCAGAATAATAGCTAAGACATCAAATAGCGAGTTCCCTCCCCTCAACCACCGCACAAAACCTGCAACAATGAAAAGGGTAGACTGGTTAGCTTATCATTTCAAAGATGTTCTGTTCTCTGGTGGATGGGAGACAAAACAGTCTGGAGAGTGTGCACCAACTTGGAGAACTGGTTTCTATCATCCTGTGTGTGTGTGTGTGTGTGTGTCCCTTCCACCTACATAAAAAGAGCTTTGTGCTGGGAGAGGAGGGAAAAGAGGAGCCAGAACTCTAGAGGAAGAACTCCTCCCCCTCAACATTAATTCTGATATGAGGAGAAAGGGAAGGGGGAAAAGCATTGCTCTGGGAAGGACAGGGGGATCCAAGAGAAAGGAAGGCAAGGGTTTGGGGCTCAGTTTCCCAGCTGCAGTGGCTCAGATTGGTTTTGCACCTTCTGACAAGAGAAGCAAGAGGGATGGTGGCATGGTACATTTAGACATGAGTGGGCCTTAGTTTTTCACAGGCCCAAGTGTAGCTTCGAGGGCTTCTATGAGCTCATAGGGAGCCACAGGTTAGCTGGCCTGACTGGGGAATGAGCTTGGCCTGCCCCAGGAGGTAAGGGAGGGACAGGCCTGTTCCTTAGAAGTGAGGGAAGGATGAGGTTGGGTTCCTTGAGATGGAACGGAATGTGTCTCTGACCAGAGCTGCCACACTCTCTTCTCTAAGGGAGTGCCACAGACCACAGGACATCAGTCGCTGACAAGAACATGGGTCCCAGAAGCATAGGAGGTCAAAAGGGACCCACTTCTCCCTCTATGTGGTGACTATGCTGATGACCAGCGTTCTCAGATTATGCCAGACCAGGGAGGAGTAGAGGAAGTAAAAGTGGAGCTCTGAGCTCCAATTTGAAACTCATCCCAAACTTAGTCATGGGGTGGGACAGCATACATCAGGATCAGACTGTCCTCCAGAAGCCAGGACAGAGCCATAGAGCCAGAAATGAAGGCCAGCACAAGAAATGACTAAGGTTCAGATGTGCACACTTGAGTTTTGTGAATGGCCATACTGGCTATTATTTCTGTTGCACTTGTTAATATCCTTTAACTCAAGAGGCCACAGAGGCCTGAAAACCTAGTTGTCATAATAGTTTAAGAACTATTATTAATAAAGGCCAAGTGCTTTATACCTCGAACCTCATTAAACCCTCACCCACCAAGTGATGGAGCCCCATTACAACCCCCACTTCACAGGTGAAGGAATTGGGATTTAAACAAGTTAAGTAACTTGACCAAAATAGGTAGAAAATGGCAGAGTCAGAATTCAGACTCATTCTGTACTGATCCAAACTGTGCTTAGCCACAGGGCCTGATTTCTAGTAGACAGTGTCTGGACATCATCTTCTCTTTAGTGGGGAGTTTGTTTTCACTCCAGAAAGGTGTTGTTGCAGCAGGAAGGTGTGGTCCATGGTGTGGAACGGCCGCCAGGTGAGAGCCCAGATGTGCAGCTAGGTGCTCTAACCTGTTACCAGTAGCAGAGGCAAGTATTGAACAAGAACCCTAAACGTATCCAGCTCAAGGCACGCTTTTTCCTAAAGTGATTTTGAAACAGTTGAGGAATTTCTTAACTTTGGAATGTGTTCAATAAATTTCTGTTAAGTGAGGTATTCAATTCAACTTCTTTAAACTTGTGCCAAAGAGCTGTCAACTTAGATCACAAAAGATCATAACATTAAAAGCTCTCTCTTCTGGCAAGATTCATCAAGCCCCATGCATTTCCCTGGTAAACTCCTCCACATCTGTCCTCTCTTCTTTCTCAGGTCCGACCTCTGGTTTATACCTTTATCACAGCCAGCCTAGGCCACTGCAACAGCTTCATCCATTAAGCAGGTGTGGATTGGACACCATTCTGTGTCAAGAAGCAAACTCAGTACTGGGGGCCAGAGATGGAGAAAAATGTGGTTCCTGCACCAAGGCACTCCCAGACTCAGGAGATGTGTACAGATTGTCACTGCCCTGCCCCCGCCCCGAATCCCCCTCGACCCTAGTGAAAGAATTACTGTTCTCTATGGCCACCCCACTGGACTACATTTCCCCACCTCCCTTGGGCTTAGAAGAGGTCCTATGACCAAGTTCCTGACAAAAGTCTGTGCTGGAAGTGATGGGTGCCACTTCCAGGTCCAGGACATGAGGCACGCCTCCTCCACTTCTCCACTTTCCAGATTGGCTGCAGCCTGTATTTGATGCTGATTAAGTTTCTATCATGCAGTTGTTGATGTTGCCCAAGGGGATAGCAGAGCAATGACTTAGAAAGACCTGGGTCCTTGAATGACAATGAGGGGCAGGTCTCATCTCATAACTGTTATATGGGAGGGAAAAATAAATATCCATTATAAAAATAAACATCCATAATAACAGAAAAATAACTTAAGCCATTGTATTTTGGGGACTCTTTCGGTATAGACACTTACTTTTACCCTAACCATATCAGGAACATAAAACAAAACAAAAAAACATTAGCAAAGTACTCCTAGTGCTATGACAAAAGTGGAAAAGTCAGATTAGGTAGAGCAGAAAGTAGGCAAATGGAAGAAAGCAGCAGGCAATGGCTCTCTGTGCCTGGTAGAGGCACCCTTGCACTGAATCCTGAAAGATGAGTGTTTTCAACAAATTCTACTCATAGTTCCTATCTGCTCTTCATCCTTTGGGTTTACTATTGTTGTGATGTTTGTCAGATATATTCTCCCTATGCTCTACCTTTGAAAGCCTACCCAGCCTTCAAGAATCACTTTCTCCAGGAAAACCATCCTTGACCTCCAGAAGTGATTTCTCCTTCCTCCCAAACCCTATAACACTTATTCTTTACTATATATTGATATATATATAGTATATATATAGTATATATATAATATATATATACACTATATACTTTACTATATATTGATATTTAATTATCTTCTCTACCAATATCTGAAACTTATTGGCACCCTGCCTAAACTTATTCTGGGTGCCTCAGGGGCGTAGGTATGCCCTATACACCTATTGCTTTGTAACAACCTGCCTCAAAATGTAGTGGATTAAAATAACAATTTATTTGTGTTGATCACAGTTCTAGGGGTTGGCTGAGCTCAGCTGGATGGTTCTTTCTAGGGCTTTGCATGCTGTTGCAGCCAGCTAACAGCTGGGGCCAGAGTCAGCTGAGGGCTTGATAGGTCTCGATGTTCGAGATGGCTAGTAGATGTGACACTCAAGAAGAAAGAAGGATTTTACCAATTGGAGTTCATTCCATTCCTCTGGAGGTGCTCTGCTGGTAAAGGGGTTAAATTGATGGGCCATTCCTAACACCGTTCATTCATCAGGAACACAAGGGAATGTGGGGAAGGAGGGAAATTTCTATAACCAGGCCCATTCCCAGACCTCACATGTCCCAAGGTACTTTTGATTAAACTTCACTCTTTTATTTATTTATTTATTAATGTGCTTTTTTTAAAAAATGTATTTATTTGGCTTAAAGAATTGTAGGAATTCTTACATTTCCTACTTGTTGGAAAAACAAATGGCACAACACGAAAGTAAGTTTCATTTGGGTTAAAGAATTAAATATCAAAAAAACCAAATCATAAAAGACAAACTAGAAGAAAATAGAATCAAGTGTTGATCAATTTTCTGGACAGGAAATACATGTATTTGTAAGCATTGAAGTGAAAATAAAAAAAGACAGAAAAAAGAAGAAGAAACCACAGAGGAAAAGACTGATGAATTTGACTAAATAAAAATGTAAAACTTCTGCACAAATAATGCAAAACTGATGCAAAACTTCTGCAAAAGCAATGAAAATAAAACAACCGAAATAAAAAGTCAAAGAGACCAGAAAGGGGGTGGTAGGGTGGAGTCTCTAAGAGGCAATTACCATGACCAGAAAACTAACATCTTCCTTATAAAAGTATTTATAAAAATTGGTTTAAGAAATTAAGGCTGGAATAAATAATGAATCAACAGCTGTGCTGACAAACCAAAGTAGAAACATTGCCATAAACAAATGTGGCACAGATTAAAGCCTGTGGTAATCAGAAGTACAGGCTGAAGGAAAAAGAATGATCGTTGCCCATTCACAGTGACAAAATTTAAAGCAACAATTTCTAATCCTGGTGACAGTGCAAGAAACTGCTGTGATCGTAGATAGTGCTTATCCTCCATGCAAATCTTGGAAAACAATTTGTCGACATAAAAGTCCTAAAAAGTATCTTTTTTTTTTTTTTGACTTAAAAGTCATAAAAAGTATTTTTTTTTTTAATCCTCACTCGAGGATATTGTTTCCATTGATTTTTAGAGAGAATGGAAAGGAGACAGAGAGAAACACCGATGTGTGAGAGACACATTGATTGGTTGCTTCTCACATGCCCCCGACCAGGGCCAGAAGCCTGCAACTGAGGTACGTGCCCTTGACCAGAATTCGAACCTGGGACCCTCAGTCCTCGAGCTGATGCTCTATCCACTGAGCCACACCAGCTAGGGCCATAAAAAGTATCTTAATACTTTGACCCACATCTGGGACTTTATCCTAGGGAAATCATCTAAAAGAAAGCAATCTTCTTGGTAATGTCCACTGAGTGTTACTGTCATCTCAAGGGGGTCTGAAAGACCTGGCCCTGAGTCTACAATGCTTCTTGTGGGTGGTACTGGGGACACTCCTCTCCACAAGTGTGTGTTTGCATTAGCTGACGTACTTGGCAACTTTGGGAAAAGTTCCCTTGGGAGGATAAAGATGAGGACCAGGGAGGATGGAAGGGTTTGAGTCTCCACCCTAGAACTGGCTGCCTTGCTGGTGTTGCTTCATGGGAAAAGCAGAAGGCTCACAATTAACAAAAGGGCCATGAGAGTCCTCATCCAAGCAGTGCAGCTGCAGAGCCTAATGGTTGAGTGCCATGCAGAGCAATAGGGGCATCTCCTCCCCTCTCCCTCTACCACAGACCAGCAGCAGACTGTCCGGGCACAGAGTTCTCAGCAGCGTTCCCCAGGGTTCCTGGGAGCAGACGCGCTATGGGCGGAGGAGAACAGCATCAACCGAGTATGTGAGGGTGGGGACTACATCTGTCTCATTTTCTGCTGGATCCTCAGATGTATGTCAGACATAGCATCTCGCATACAACAAGCACTCAGTGCATATTTCTGAATGGGTAAAGGAATTTTAGTGGTCATCACCCACCTGAGGACTCTGGGAAATAGTTGGGGCTGATCTGGGTGGGTGGGGATAGGAGCTGAGGCACTGCATGAATGGGTGGTGACTCAGCTCTGACAATACAGCAGTACCAATGACAGTGCGGACCCAACTATAAACACGATAAAAACGGGAAGGGCTAATTACATTTACAATATTGAAAAATTAGAAACAATCTAAATGTCTAACCATAAATTATGGGTTTCATCATGAGTTCAACAAATATTTATTGAGTGTCTACTATGCACCAAACGGGGTTCCAGTGTGGATATTCAGCTTGAACAAAATGCAGTACCTGACCTGATGGACCCTACATTTTAGTGGGGAGACAGAGAGCAAACCAATAACTATGTGTAAGGTGGCATGTTAGGAGATGACACACGTGATGGAGAAAAAGCAGGGAGAGGTGATAGAAGGTAGGGTGGCTCCAGTTTATAAAGGGTGGTCAGAGAAGGCCCCACTGAGAAAGTAATATCTGAGCAAAAACCTAAAGCAGGAGCTAGCAATGCAGCTATCCGGGAGAAGTGCAAGGAACAACAAGGAAGCCACGTGGATGGCTGGATCCAGAGGTGGAGAAGAGAGTGGTGGGGACGAGATCCGGGAAGTACTGAGGCAGGCAGATCATGGTAAGGACTTTCCTCGGCGACAGGAAACTCTTGGTGGATTTTGAGCAAAGGGATGTTATGAGCTACTTTACATTTTAAAAGAATGACTCTGGTTGCCACATGGATAGGGTTGCCAGATTTAGTCATTAAAACTTCACTATGTCCAGTTAAATTTGCATTTTATAGGAATGAATATTTTAGAAGTACATCCCATGTATTTATGACATTTATTCTAAAAATTTGTCTTTCATCTGAAATGCAAATTTAACTGAGTATCCTGTATTTTATCTATATATGGAGAAAGATTTAGAGCATCAAGGTGAAGGCAGGAAGGTCAGTTAGGGGTGTGGCCATAACCCGGGTGAGGGATGAGGGTGGATCAGACCAGGGAGGTGGATGGTAGGTGGTGAGAAGTAGCAGGTTGGATTCTGGGTATATGATGTCCCCTGTGTAATCGCTCTCTCTCTTTCTCCCTTCATCTCCCTCTCCCTCTCCTTTTATGTGAGCTAGTTTGATTCATTTTGCACCAAAAACAGAGGAAAAGGGGTGATGGTCGCTGGGAGGATGTGGCTGGGGGCCTTTTGGTATGTGGGTAGGATATGGGTTTTACCACAATTTTCATGTCGTTTTAGAGAACCCATGAGAATAGATTGAGTCGCTCACGGATAGAAAGGGGCGAAGGCCAGGTGACAGCTCTGAAAGAGTTCTGCCCTCCCTGCTCAGGGGCCAGGGGTCAGCCTCTGGAGAGATGGCAAAACACTTCGCTATGGCACCTCCTTTTTGGTTCCTTCCCCTGTAGCTACCAGACATCTCTTAGCTGGAGAATGGTTGGGGGAATGGTGACCTGTAACTGGATCTTTCTTTTCAGATCTTTTGTTCGGAGCCAGTATGCTAAGGATGTTCTCAGAGGACAGGGTCAACATCTAACAGATTGTTGGCGACGGAGAGAGGGAAAAGAGCCCCCGAAACGTGTCTAAGTGCCTGGTGCGTGACTCACAACAAGCCAGATCCAGACATTATCACCCTTTTCATGAACCAGGACCTGGCACAGAAAGATATGGCAACCTCCTCAGGGTCATTGCGCAGGACTCACTGATTTCCCATCATCATCACTTGTCTAGTTCAGCAGAAAGCACTTCAGTGCTGATGAACTGAGAGGCCGAGAGGAGAAGATAAGGCAGCTGTACCGTTTTTATTCCACTAAGAGTTTAAGACCACGTGTTTGGTCAGAAGAGACCCACATAATCCTTACCAGCTGGCGTGCCTCCTCGCCTGCCTCCTGCCTCATTCCTTCAATTGTTCAACAAAAGTACATTGAGCATCTTCTAGATGCCAAGTTCTGATCCAGGCCCAGGGATACATGGGAGGACCAAGACTAAACTGTGAAGCTGAGGTTTAAAGGAAAAGAGTAGTTAACTAGGTCAAGGGCGAGAGATGGGGAAGGTGTCCCACGAGGAAGGTTTGTGCAGATGCTCTGTGGTGAGGGGGAGTGTGGGTAACACCAGGGCCTGAAAAGACTGGAGGGGAGAAATGCAGAGGCAGGAGGCTGTGAGAGCGTCTGGCAGGTCATGCAGAAGGATTTTAATTTTTACCCCAAGAGCCAGAAGATGCCATGGAAGTGCTTTAAATTAAGCAGGACTGCAACTCGATCAGATTTGCATTTTGAGAAGATAAAATCCAAATGTGTGTCATTAAAGGACTAATTGGATCCATTAGCATATATCCACACAGGGAACTCCAGGCATCTGTTCAAAAGAATAAATATAAATAGCGTGATTTCTAAAATTATTTTTAAAAAACATATAAGGTACAGAACAGTGGGTATTGTATTCTATCATTTGTGCAGAAACACACACACACACACACACACACACACAGTTGTTTGGAGTTATTCAGGGTAGTTGTGTTCTATGAAGTTGCCAGGAACACTGAATTAGCAGATACTGAACTATGGCTCCCAGAAGAAATGCAGGGTTGGGCTTCCATGAGGTTCTGGTCACAGTATTTTCACCAGCCAATCAGTGCATCCATCACCTTATTTTATGTGTGTTTTCTTTAAAGACATCTTTCTTCACATATAAGGTTGATTCATTAACACTGAATTCATGAGCCAGCAGCATGAAACTCATGCCTGAACAAAGCTCGCCTAACGCATGTATTTTCTCAGAAGGCACATCAAAGCTTTCCCGTGTTCTTAGGAACACTAGACAGCACTTTAGCACTATGATTGGAGGCCATTCCAAACAGCAAAATCAACATAAGGTACAAAAATGTGAAGAACGTGGCACTAGATAGACTGCAAACAGGACACTTACTTACAGGACCAGAGCTGAACAGGGAAGGCAGAGTGTGGCCTCATTTGACCTCGGCTGGGGGACTCGCGTTTTTCGTTGCTCTGCACGAGTTTGCTTACGCCTGAGAAAATGCCCCGAGGATTGATTTGGGGCTGACAAATAAACGTTAGCAGTAGACAAATGTGCAAATATGAAACTGTGAATATGAACATCAACTTTACAGGGGAAATCGTCTCAACCTTAGACATAAACTGCAAAAATAAAAATAGTACATGAATATTCATCCACAGTTTACCCAGATTTCACCCCCTTTGCTTTATCAATTATGCAGCCACCCTCCCTCTCATGTACAAACACACAAACACACTTGTTCCTGAATATGAGGGTAGGTTATATACATCGTGACCCTTTACCCCTAAATATGTCAGTGTGTGTTTCCTTTAAAAGGGATTCTCTTTCATAACCACAGTACACTTATCCACCTTGGTACATTTAACATGTATACAATGCTTTTACCTAATCTACCATTCTCCTTCATTCTAGAACAAACACATCCGCAGCCTATCACTGTGTTCTGTGGTACTGACGCTTTGTAACCCACACTTTTTAAAAAATAGAAGGTCCCTCAGTTTAAGTTTGTCCAATGGTTCCTCACAGTCAGATTCAGGCTATGCATTCTCCCCTGAAATGCTGCCTAGGTGATGACGTGCAATATGACTACTCTAAAACACACGGCGTCTCTACGAGGGAATCTAAAGAAACTGGTGCTGCGACTGTCTTTGGAGAAGAGACCTGAGACCCTGGAGGAGAGACCTGGGGAAGAGAGTGACTTCCCACGCTCTGCCCTTACAGGCCTTTTGAATGGGACTAGGTATATGCAGTACCCAATCATAATTTTTTAAAAACAATCATTCATTGTTGTTTTTTAAAAACATATTTTTATTGACTTCAGAGAGGAAGGGAGAGGGGGAGAGAGATAGAAACATCAGTGACAAGAGAGAATCATTGATTGGCTGCCTCCCACACGCCCCACTGGGGATGGAGCCAGCAACCGGGTCATGTGCCCTGATTGGGAATCGAAATGTGACCTCCTGGTTCATAGGTGGATGCTCAATTACTAAGTCTTGCCAACCGGATCATAAACTAATTTTTAAAATCCTATAAGGTCGGTGAATCTGTTATTATTACCCCCATTTTTCCATATGGAGAAACAGGCTCAACGAGAGTGAGTGACTATCAGGAAGGCCTCTGATCCTGGCCTGTGGACCTATGCCTGCCATCACTCAAAGTGCTGCCCTGAAATTAGGTGGGTATAGATTGCGATGAGAGCAGCAGAGGAACCAGGGGGCCTGGATGTATAAGCCACGCCCCTCCCCCGGCAACTTCAGTGGGTACAGTAGGGCCCTCACTTACCCAGATATCCAGGGAGGGTTTCCTAGGGGAGGAGATACTTGAGCTGAGTGTGGAAAGGTGAGAAGGTAGCCAGGTGTCCAAGGGTTACAGGATGAAGGGAAGGAAGAGAAAGCAGGAAGGAGGGTATTTCAGACAGAAAGTGCCTTGGATCCAGGGTAGCAGGCTTGCAAATGTGCACACCACATCCAGGCTTGCAAAGATTAGGATCTTCCCTGGCAGTCTCACCGTGGTGTGCAGCGGGGAAGCCTGGGCTTGCCTTTTAACAATAGACTGGTCTTTGTACATTGAGCACGTCTCCTTTCAGTCAAAGGATTCCGTCCATTTGGTGATGAACTCCCTCGTGTGGCTGGTTTCCCACACTTGGAAAACACACTGTCTTTCTCAGCTCTGTCCCTCTCACTCCCTCTCCCCAAAATGCCCCCTGGTTGTCAGGTATATGAGGTCTCTTACTGTACCCACTGAAGTTGCGGCGGGGGAGTCCCCATACACCCAGGCCCCTGGTTCCTCTGCTGCTCTCTCTGAGGAGAGGGGCACCGGGCGTGGCTTTTCATATACTAATTGCAGCTAAAGGAATTGAGAGGCTCTAGCTCCCTGGCCTTCAGCACTTTTGTTTTCCCCTTTACTTTGTCAAGGTTTAAACTATTTACATTCTGTTCTGTTTGTTACATGTTTTGTCTGCAGATGGAGTCTAAGATAGTAAACCGCACATAAATAACATTATTATAACATATAATTACCATGTTTGCGTAAATATTATTTGCTGCAGAATCAAGCAGTATGAAAGAAGAAAATAACTTTATATTGCTTACTAAACATCTGTAGGTCAAAGGACAATACATATTCCAGACATAAAAGTCTAAACTAGCATCATTCATTTTTTTCTATGTTTATATTTATTTTTACACTCAGCTTCTAGTTTTTTAAAAATCTCTCTTGTTCTTTGTTGAATGACTTTGGTAGGACATCTCCTTGAGTGATTTCTCCATATGCAGTGCTTGATTGGTGTATTTTCTGACTCCCTGGATTTCAGAAAATGTCTTTATTTTGCCTTCACTTTGAGTGGTAATTGGGCTCGTGATAGAATTACAGATTCAAATGAATTTCCTGCAAAATCTGATGTTAGGCTGAATCTCATTTTTTCATATGTAACCTGCTTTTTCTTTTGGTAAACTTACATGATTTTCCCTTTATGCTTTAACTTCTGAAATTTTACCCAAGTGCATTTAAATGTGGTATTTCTTTACTCATTCTCATTGGCCCTCAGTGGGTTCCTTAATATAACACAAAACCAAAACCAAACATTTCTTTTAAAAAATATATATATTTGTATTGATTTTCTATAGAGAGGAAGGGAGAGGAAGAGGGATAGAGAGTTAGAAACATCGATGAGAGAGAAACATCGATCAGCTGCCTCCTACACACCCCCTACTGGGGATGTGTGTGCAACCAAGGTACATGCCCTTGCCCAGAATCGAACCTGGGACCCTTCAGTCTGCAGGCCGACGCTCTAGCCACTGAGCCAAACTGGTCAGGACTATTTATTTGATTTAATACCAAAATGTATTATGAGGAAAACAAAGATGGCAATAATGTCACCACCCAATTAACATTTTATTCCAATTAACATTTTTAAAGCATAAAATTATACAATATCACGCAAAGGGTGAAACATGAAAAGTATCACTCTTCTTCGTCCTCACCTACAGTCAGTCCCTCTACCCATCTACATTGGCTCATTGGTTATCCATCCACCCAGGGGAAAAAATGTTTATACCAGCATATAGTGAATACTACCTATGAAAAGCAAATCTTTTTTAAAAGATTATACAGATGATAGAGGTATCAAGCTTTCTAAGTATTGCCCATCTAGATGAAAATATTGGTGTTTTCATGTGTATTTCTTCAGCTGGATGTACGGCCTGGTATTGTTTCTTCTGTTTATTGGCCATCTGGATTTCTTTTTCCTGTTCTTGGCCTCAAGGGATCTTTCCCCAATGACCCGTGTCTTTCTTTGCCTCAGGAAAATGTCCTCCGGTCACTTCCTCAATGGTTCCCTCTCCCCTCGCCTCTGCTGTTCCCCTGCATGCAGACATCTGGATTTGTCCTCGTGTCATTTTGTTTTTATCTCACATCTTCCATCTGGTGGTCTTTTCCCTCTGCCTTAAAGGAAATGTTTCTCAGCACTGCCTCTGACATTTCTCTTGCTTTTACAACACTTTCAGATGACTGTGGTTTTAAAAAACATCAGAGTAGTGCATGAGAGTGACATTGTGAATAAAGGATGGTTTATACGGTTTACAGATAGCACTGTTCTGCAATGTCTCACTCCTGATACCCATTATTAAACTTTTTAGCTTTTTTTTTTTGCTGTGAATTTCTGTGTTTCTTAATACTAGACATTATCTTTGACTTCCTTTTATGGGAGATGAAGATTTAGCACTAATACTACCTCCATGCCCCCACTGCCCTTCTCTCCATCCTACTGTTGCAGTTATGTCCCAATTTCCCGTTAAATTATTAGTTATTTGGGGGTGGGGGGTTAATCTGTGAGTGTAGTTCATGGCTGAGTCAAAAAGTTCATGATGAGCCCTGGCCAGGTAGCATAGTTGGTTAGAGTATCATACTGATATGCCAAGGTTGTGGGTTCTATCCCTGGTCAGGGCACATACAAGAATCAACCAATGAATGAAAAAGTCAGTAGGGCAACAAATTGTTGTTTCTTTCTCTCTCTATCTCCCCCTCCCTCTCTTTCTAAAATCAATCAATAAAAAATGTTCATTATGATTTTCCTAGAGATTATTATTGTTGTTGTTATTACTTAGATTTATATGGACCTTTAACGAAGGCCTTCTAAACGCTCCCAAAGGAATTTTAAAGGACTTGAATTTGGAAGAGCCCTTTTCCACGGATTGGCCCCTTCCTTTGTTTCTCTCCTTCTTGAGTTTTGAGGACAGAGCCAGGAAAGGCAGGACCAGGGTGTCAGGGAGAGACGAGAGGCAGGAAAAGGCTGGGGCCTGGAAAGGGGAGAACAGTCCATGACAATCCGGGACTGGAACTTTAGGAGTCCGTCGTCTGACCTCACAATGTCTCCACCGAAGCTTTATTTTTATGGTGGGTGGTTCCCAGTCCTTCTCTCCCACTGCAGCCCACCCTCAAGCTGAAAAGCTATACCGGACTTTGCAGGAGAGTTCTAACACTGTAGCACTATTATTTTTCAACCTAGCAAGGAAGCAGAAACCATGAAAGCAGAAGGGATGCTGAGGTTCTGAGGCAGGACGTGTCTTATCCACCAGGGGCCGCTGTTTCCCCATGCTCAACCCAGGAACCTGGCTGCCCTCTAAGAATGCAGTTCCGGCTTGAACCAGAGACCCTAAGGGAGTCCTCCAACCCTATGGGGGCCCTCCCCATCTTCCCAAGGTCCTCAGCACAGTCTTCAGTCTGCGTGCCCTCCAACCTGACAAGAGGGGGCATGGGGGAGCTTGGCAGTTGCAGATGCCACAGTAGCAATCTGAACTGGGCCATGATTTTTCTGCGCTGTCAGCATTGATCCTGTTGTAGGGGCCTGCCTGCCTGGTTTTCAGGGGCCTGGCTAACTGCTGGGTCCCCTTCCTGAGAGAGGAAGGCTGGCTTTCAGAGATGTGGGCCCCTGGGGTGGAGGTTCTGGTTAGGCCAGTGGTCTCCAAATTAGGGTGTGCAAGATGGTCTGTTGGAGGTACAGGAAGAAAACACCATGCTTTTATTTATGTATTTATATTTTTAATCTAAAAATGCAAATGTGGCTTCATGAATATTTCATATCCAGATTGGTGCTGACTTTCCCATGTGGGTTGTATGCCCGACAGCCCTGTGTCAGCAAGTGTGCGTGGCGTCCTAGGAGGGGAATGGGGAGCCTTGCCCACCCAGCAGTGACGTGCCCTCGTGGACTGGACTTACACAGCCCGTTACATAGTTTAGCCAAAGTAATCCTCACAGCGCAGACAGGTAGCTTTTAAGGGTTCCTTCGAAGAAACCAAGGTTTGAAGGTAACACCGAGAGTTCCTGCACTTTTGAACCAGAGAAGATAAATGACCGAGCTGTCGCTTCTACTCCTGTGTGAACACTTAGCTGCATTCTGACGTAAAAACAGATCTGACAAGACGTCAGACTCCCAAACTCAGACCTGCCAGAACTATTTAAAATTATATCTATTATCATTGAGGAT